TTACTGTTAAAAAGTGTACCATCAACCCATTAAGGATTGTTGTATTAATGCTTATTAATATGAAACATACTAGGCTATACCTTTGACCCACGCACACTTGGACTGCTTTTGTTATTATTAATTGCCCTAATACAGTTACAGTCGTTCTCTTTTATTGCTTGTCTTATGTTGTAAGTATGCCGGGATCGTGACTGACATTTTTATTGGCGGAGCGCAGTTTGGGGTCACGGTTCAAGAGCTGCTGTAAGCAAGCCAGTACACGAGGCCTAGCGGTCGTCTCACACGTATATGGGAATATGCACGGCCGTCATCGTTGCCTCCTGCTGCCTTTGACCTATTTTTGTGCAAGAGTTGCGCGCCGAAACTGGGTGTTTTTTTTATTAAAGTAATTTTACAGGCCCAAAATGTCGCACGGCATGGCAACAAAACGGCACTGTCAAAGGTCGTGATGGATCGGAGTTTCGTGAATTGAGTGGGGATTTAAAAGGCGAGGGGAAAAGAGACCATGGCGGGGAATTCCAAGAGTCGAGCAGCGCGAGGGAATAAAACGGAAAGCGAAGCGTCGTGTCCTGCGGTGTTTGGTGGTTGCGTGCAGTATGGATGAGACGAAACAGATGGACTGTTAGACCGAGTTCTCAACATGGGTAGAGATTTCATGGTTACTGTTGTCAGCAGCGGGAACCATGGTAGTGAAGATAGAAGGATCCATAGCAAGCCAAAACCGCATTAAGATTCTTGACACGTAATAGATTTAGACACCTACAGAGCCTTTAAGTGTAATTTTTAAATACTTAATAATAATTATACATTTACAACGCGCCGCATGGTTATTTTCTCGCCCTGCAAGAGGAGGTACCACCGTCGAGTGGGAAAACGGTGGGAAAACGGTGAAGCCAGCACCAAATACCTCCCCAAGCTCTACAGTCCTCTGTATATTGAGGCGTTATCAGCCAGTTAACGAGTGTGAGCACGCAGAGAAAACCCACTTGTGTGACGGGGCAACCCGCTTAACCCATGCAGATGGGACAGGTAGATTCCACATATGCTGTGCCGCCATCTGACAAGCCGGGGTATGTGGCCCGTAGATGCTCGTAGGAAGGGAGTTTCGCAACATGTGTGTCGCACCAACGCTCGCCCCCACAGCGCTGAGTTAACAGGCGTGCACCACTTGTGCATTAAATGTACAATACGTAAAGTATACAGGGCAGAGAGAAAATGCAACCGTGCTTTTTATAGGGCACCGCTTCAGGCAGTGTTGGGCTTATAATTTTAAATATAAGTGGAAAATTTAAATTAGAACAAATCTTACTTATAGTGTCCTGTGATGCCATGATCGTCTGGTGTGCTGCCACCACAGTCATGTGTGATATCCTGTCCATAATTAAGGTTGTTTGGATTAAAACGCGTAAATATGTCGTTAAAGCCACCACAACCCCACATCCAATTAGTAAGGCTTGTCACGTGAACACACCAGTGAGTTGGAGAATAATCCCACAACATTTACAATTCGAATATGACTTTTCGCTGGTAATTACCACCGTGGATATGGCCCGGTTTGTATTCCTGGCGAGGTCCTTCCTGGTGCACGGATCAAACTATGGATGCCATCATGATATGTGCTTTGCTCTTTGTCCTGTGATTAAAACTATGCGTTTTATTTAACTGGGGAATATTGATTGAGCATGCACGTTAGTAACAAGGGTGGATTGTATTATTGGGTGGTTACTAACATTAGCCTATTGGCAAATTACAGGGAATGCAACCCATCTCATTTCATCAGATCTCTGAAGCTAAGCAGATTTTAGCCTGGATAGTGCTTGGATGTGGGATGCCCATGAACACAATGTTGTCAGAGGCGGATATACAGCTGTGCTATGTAGTGGGCAGCAGAGAGCAGTGCAGCGAAAACCACTGTTGTACTGTACTCCTACGCCCCCATACATATGTTCCTCGTTTTCAACCTACACTGATTATCGTGGTGAAGTAGGGTCAAATAACCCCCATGAACAGCATGGCGGTGAGAGGTATTTGTCCAGCAGTGCATTGGCGTAAGGGCTGTACACGTACATTGACGTAAATAATTTTAAACCGTAGAGAGGTTGTTGTGATATTGACAATGCTGTATAAAGTAGTGTACTCCATACTTACTGGAAGGTCTACCTACCATGTTGGCGAAGTGAGAATATTATGAATACCTTTCCCTTGATGCCATTATGACTGTATAATTGAGTAAATTTTTACGAAGCCAAAGTCAACTACTGGCGGAAGGATTGGAACATGGGGCAATAGTAAATTAGGAAAAATATTCAATTTTACCACATTGCTTCAATGTGTAATGTCTTCAGAAAATACTCACGCCGACACGTTGTAACAAGTCACCTTCTTACACTTTATTCACCTGTTCTTGCACCTGTTATAGGCACTACGATAACTATCTGTACGGTCACATATACTTAACTTCTCCCTGCTCTTATCTATTCTGAACCTCACTTATCCTGCTCTCAGTGACTCCGCACACAACATCTTCGCACTCAGCGACTCCGAACATAGCGTCTTCGCACTCAGCGACTCCGCACTCAGAGACTCCGCACACAGCATCTTCGCACTCAGCGATTCTACATACAGTGTCTTCGCACTCAGCTACTCTGCACACAGCGTCTTCGCATCTCCACTGCTGCCCTTACCTACGCTCCCTCAGACCCGCTCACCCGGCTGTCCCGGGTGGGGGGTTCAGCCAACACCCGCCCGGCGACGGCGTGACGGTTGAGGTCCCGCTGACGGCCGGAGCGGCAGCGGCGAGATGTCTTCACTCTTGGTTCCCGGCAACAACTCCCCTCGCTCACACACACTCCCGCTTATATCCCCCTGCTCATCCCGAGTCCTCACGTGCTGCCACTTAAGCTTCTACCAGGCCGACGGCAGTTGTCCCTTTAATCTCTTATCATCACCCCCCATCTCCTAGGCGCCAACCTGTTCAACCTCCGTTACACCCGCTTCTGCCCTTAACTATTGTCGGTTTGTCGTTGCAAACCTCATGTTGTAACGCGCACACCTGTTTGCCCTCCGTTGCACCCGCTTAACTGTGGGCACTGCGTATTTCTCACCCCTAAAAATGTAACAGTTTGGTGTAGCTGCCCCTTCTCTATGCGTAGATCCTTTTGATAGTTTATCTTTGCAAGACTGGTATGAGAATGGCAGCCAAAACAAGGAACAAGGCCAAGAGCATGACCACCATTGAGATGGAAGTGATGAGATCGACTCAAGTTTGAGAGAAAGATGGATTATGGCGTCCGGAAAACGTGACTGATTGTGACGAAGTTATTCATTCAGGAGTAGTTCAGTCATGGTTGATGATAACAATGAAGAGCACACTTCAGATATCTCAGGAAAGTTGGGTACATACTATAAGTACATTCGCAAGGCAACTGCACCTCCAAATTTCCCTAATTTTACCAGATGTCTTATAAAAATTAGCCTCTCGCTTTCAATCACCATCCACTCAAATGGGTTTCTTAAAACAAGTGCTGACACTGGCCCTAGCCGAGTATTTATACACCAACGTGCACATTACTGAGTAAATAAGCGCGCAGACACACGGGATGTGGATTCTCACTGAGCCATTCGGACAAAACCCATGCGACTCGTATGACTTCTCCGATACCGCTGCATAACTGTGGGAGTCGTTGGTTATTGTGTTGTTTGGAGGTTAGTTCGTTGGTTGTGGGGGGGCGGAGGGGAAATGTGCGGAGTGGCGTTTCCCAGGTTCTTTGGAAGGACAGGTGCATCCGGATGTTCTCAGGAGGCCGTGCCATGTGTGGAGAGAGAGAGAGAGACGGCTTCGTACTCTGGACGAAACGCCCACGCCCAATAATTTCTCACCTCACATCCGTTTTGTTTGCGTACGCACGATGTCTGCACTACGAATAATTTGCCTCGGGAGTCTGTCCTCCCAAGGCTTAACAATGCTAGCCATTGGTCTAAGTCAGGGGTCGGCAACCAAAATAACAAGAAGAGCCATTTCTTTCCAATTCGGTACAAAATTCAGTATTTCAAGAGCCGCAATGCATCTGAGTACATATTGTACATAAGTACATATTGTCAAGAAGCAGCCCGTAAAGAGCCGCATGCGGCTCCGGAGCCGTAGGTTGCCGACCCCTGGTCTAAGTGTAGCATGTGCACAGAGTGATACACGTACGATGCTGTAATGTAGTATGTTTGCTTTGTGAGGTTATATTTATTTAACTCCTTGTGTTATATGTAATCATTTGAGTGCTTTTCCCTGTGCCTCGACACAAGGGAAGGGAAAACATTTGTCTTACCTCTACTCTTTCTAAAGCTGGAATTCTGTTGTAAATTCTATTGTTTTTCCGGCTGCCCTTTTTCGTTTCCATTACCAATGGAAAATCATTTACTCTACCTTACCAACCTTGGGCGGCTCTTCAGCTCAAGTCTAAAAATGGGCACAGTTCAGTGTGAGATACCATTAACATTGTGTGTTAACCAGCTGTTAATACAGATTCATATAAACACATGTGAAATACATTGACTCGTAATAATGTCGTATTAAATCACAAGTAATAATAATGGTGCCGTTTTCTCAAAGTGTGTCATCTGTGTACATCATGTGTTTATTTTTTTCCTGGCAAAAACGCTGTCGGCAGTTAGTAGATAACTCGTAAAAAATATATATTCCACGGCCCGTGCGTACGTGCATACACGTGACCATGAAATAATTTAAAAAGCATAACAGAAAAATTAAACCACTCTCATACCTCATCCAACTGATTACCACCCACGCATGTATAGAATCTTATGACTCATGCAGGTCATTCTACATATATCATACAAACAATTGGCTACTGTCCCAAGCTTGAGAGTACACGAACAAACTACCATTATAGAACTACCATTATTGTTGTGTACGTTTCCCTATCAGCACCTATGGGTTTTTTTACACACACACATATGTAACAAAAACTACTCTACCCCACTGTTTACAGCACGCAAGCTTAAGAAGCAAGGCCGGGTAAAGGGAGAGAACCAGCGCAGTCCAGCGTCCTCCACAGCCACCACCTCGTCTGCCACCCCGCAACCCTCCAGCAACTCGACGGCCGTGGCCACGTTCTCGCCACCGCCGACCGGAGAGCCCATCTTCTCGCCCACGCTCATCGCCATCCTGCAGGCGATCGAGCCCGAGGTGGTCATGTCCGGCTACGACAACACGCGGTCCCAGACCACCGCCTACATGCTGTCGAGCCTCAACCGCCTCTGCGACAAGCAGCTCGTGTCCATTGTCAAGTGGGCCAAGTCTCTACCAGGTACTGGGGTGGGGGGGAGGGGAGTGGCCCTATGCTTGTGTGTTTTCGCTTCGCTTGAACCCCCGTGCTGTGAAGCAACGCCAGTGTTCCTTGTCCTGCTTGGAGTGTGGTGGTCGTACGTACGTACGTATGTTGAACTTCTTTTGCACCTTGTGTAGCCAACCGTGCTAATATACCATATAAGCATGCAAAACTAAATTTCGTTCATTCAGCTGTATTGGCCGTGCAATTGATCATGCCACCGTTGCAAGGGCTATCATTAAGCGCCCTGACATTAGATCCCCCGAGTTTTGGCGTTAAATCATCCTTCTAACGCTTGGGTTGGTTCATCTTTGTCCCACAGGTTTCCGAAACCTGCACATCGACGACCAGATGGTGTTAATCCAGTACTCATGGATGGGCCTGATGTCATTTGCCATGAGCTGGAGGTCCTTCCAGCACACCAACAGCAAGCTGCTCTACTTTGCTCCTGATCTGGTTTTTGATGAGTAAGCATTCTTTACTCGACAGTGTACTTTGAATCTACGAGCTCGCCGATCCCATGAATGATGTCGCTCTTAGACGGGTATTCTGCACGTGTGAAATACCGAAGTCGAACGCAAAGGCGCCTTATACATTTACAGGACTGCACGGTTCCGTAATTGTGTTGGGAGGTTTTTATTAATTTTGTTTTTCTAGAGTACGCTCAGAGCAAGATTGGCCTACAAATGTTGAAACTTTATTTTGAAAAACGTCTTTTACTACCTTTGTTTCAACTGTGCAATGACCATGATTTTATTCAATTATTTGCACAGTCTGTGTTGCTGTGCACGATGTGATATCATGTGCATTAATGTGTTATATACCGGAATAAATAGGAGCGCGGAAAGTGATGAGCATACAAATGCATCGATTTGTACAGGTTGAGCCTCATACTGATGCCGTCATTAAGCACTGGGGCTGCCATGACAACCTGTTGTCTTAATTATAATCATTATTTGTAGGGAGTTTTTAGGCATTAACGCAAAGTCCTTTTGTACGAAAACAGAATGAAACGTGCTATTTAAAAATATGGAAACGGAATCAATACCCCCCCCCCCCATAATGCGTTGTGGTAGTCATTCGTTACAGGTGTTTTTTTAAAGTATTGAACATTGTCTTCACTTGAGTACATTTGAGAGCAATATTGACCTTCACACGGTAAACTGAAAATACATGCTTCCCTCTTTTCTCTGAATCAACGCCAATGGCACATCATCAGCCCGTGTGCTGTTCTTGGAACTTACATAATCTATTTTTTTACATTTCTGGTTCATTTGGTATACACGAAATGTGAATAATGTAATACATTTGAAATGTTAGAATGCAATACAATTGCGTTTCTATCGCGTCTAAAATGGAGTCTCATCTGGACACTTCACACACAAAAATGAAAGGTAACAGGTTAGCAGGAATTGTACCAATACATCATTATCAAATGTGGTCTCTGGCATAATTGGTATCTTATTATCAATGATGACAGTAAATATCTAAAAATTCAAAGCAAATATATTATTATATCCACTTACAAGGCTCAATCTGTTGACGACAAGTGCGCAAGCGTTGAATGTACAATATCTAGCGGCACTCATCAATACATTAATCAACACTCTTGTTGTAAATTTAGATTTAAAGCTTTCGTGACTGCAGGGTTTCATAGTCTTGGTTCTTTCGGTAAAGTCACATAGAAGGGAAATAAAAAAATAATATAAACTAATAAAAATTATCACGACGTTTCGACTGCAACACAAGCAATCATCATCAGGTGTGAAATCCACAGCAAGAAAATTTTGGAGGGAAAAAAATCTAATTTTCTTGCTGTGGATTTCACACCTGACGACGTTGCAGTCGAAACGTCGTGAGAAATGTTATTGTTTAATATATTTTTTTCCCTTCTATGTGACTTTACCAAAAGAACCAAGAATATACTCTTGTTTTAGTTTGTATTACATGTATAAAATAATACCGTATTGTATTTTCATAACAGATTAACACCTAAATGTCATGCACAATGCCACTTGGTTATAAAATAAACCCACTCTTTTATAGTGGCCTTTTCTATATATTATCACACATTTGGCGTCCTCTGGTCTAACACAGTTTTGAGACTAGGCTCAAAAGAAAGCAGTCTCTGGTGTGGACCAATCAGTTTCAAAGACAATGCATATATTATCAGAGTATAAATCTTGACTTAAAGCTTTCGTGACTGCATGAATTCATATTCTTTGGGTCTTTCGGTAAAGCCACGTATATTGAACAAATAATAATATAAATAACAATATCACGATGTTTCGATCGCAACACAAGCAATCGTCATCAGGTGAAAAATATCGCGAGAGAGCTGCTGAGTGTTATTTTTTTTATTTGTTCTATCTACGTGGCTTTACCGAATGGACCCAAAGAATATTATCAGTGTTTTTTGTTTGCATTCTGACCACAAGTATTGTGGTTAATGCAGACATGTTTGCTTGTAAAAGGTTTCAGCTTGGTGTTCTAACATCTTAACACATATTTGCAGTCACGAAAACTTCTAATCTAATCTTAAAACCTGTTTGTTGCCAGAAAAAAGGGGAAAACCTCTTCTCATTGGTTAAACGTATTTAAAACATTAGTATATGTAAGAATAGTTAAATACACAAAAGTAAACCACACCTTGAATTTAATCCAAATTCTACTTAAGTGACTTCGCAATTGTTGAACTTTTTGTCATTTAAAGAACAAAGAAGGCTTAAAGTCATATTTTGTAGCAACAAGTTTATACTTTTCAACTCAAATTAATCTTGTCTAGCCTGAATCTTGCACATCACAATTATTGTTGAACAAACTTTAATCTTTCTTACTAGCAATCCTAACGACAAATATTAAAATCTTATGTCGGATCAACTTAGAGCAAATATTAATTTTTTTGGTAGAAACGGGTGTGCACAATAAATCTGAAATTGTGGACTGGCATCCTGCTGCCTTTCAACAGGTTCTTATTTAAATAACCTATTAAATGTTCCAGTTATTTCGGTTGCTCTTACATTTAATACTCTAGCAGCTTGCTTAAAGGTGTGTCTGAAAAAATTATACATTACTTATTGTCAGTATACGTGAAAACATTGTGTTCTGCTTACAATTTGGTCCTGCAGTGTTCATTTATCTAGCTTTTTTTATAGCTAGTAGTTAAACAAATGTTGGTTGTTACATCATCTACAGGGTTTGGAGAGGGAAAAAAACCCACGCTATTTGGTCTTTATTCTCTGTGGCATGCAAAAATATTTTGGGTTTTTTTGTTCACTTTCTCAATGGTTCAGCACTTTGAAATTCGCTTGAGGCGTGACATTGACCGCTGATTATTCCTGTTAATTCTGAGTCAATTGAAAGACCTGATACGTTGAAACGGTACTTGACCAAGATAGTGAACAATTCCTTACATACATTGTATCATTTTCTAAAGAGGCCTTGGTATAATGAGTACTATTTCGACTTCACAAGAGTTCTTAAGGATACCACTCTTCAAAAAAAATACTAAGCCACCAATCTTTCCCTTACCACCCCTGTTAAGCTGAATTATCTTTAATTTGAGATAGCCTTATTTCATCCTATAATTGCCACTGTTTTTCCTTGGTATTTTTCTCCCCACATTTTAAGCCATTCAATATAGATTATTTATAGATTCTATTACTGAACGTATCTGAAAACACATTCCCAACTGTTACTGATATTGGCACCGTTTGTAGATAATTACAATATTTAGTATTCTTTGTTTTTGTGACATTAGATTTCTCACAGACATCCCATGCTATCTCCCATACTATATTCTTGTGAAGTGTTATGGCAAATTACACCCGACACGTAATAATGTGCCCTTGAATGGCACATTTATTCAAGACTCGGCAACCGATGTCAGTTTAAATAAAATGTTCGGGCTTTGTTCTGTAAACTCAGGAAGGAGTGTCAGTCAGGCCGGGTTTTGCACTTGTGTATGTCACGGACATCGTAGAGGGATCGTTGCTTGTGTTTATTTACTTGGAAAATTTTAATTGCCGATGACGTTCGGGGTAGCCACGGTGGGCATTAGCGTTTATTCTCAAAACGTGTTGAAGTTGTCGAGGATGCGTGGGCTTTTTCAAAACTCGAAATGTTTCAATCTTGATTTGAAGCTTTCGTGACTGCAGGCATCCATACTCTTTGGTTCTTTCGGTAAAGTCACGTAGATAGTTTATTTTATTTCTAACTACGTGACTTTACCGAAAGAACCAAAGAGTATCGAAATGTTTCCTTACGGCAGTCTGCGACATGCTCCAGTCTCCGTTTTGGTAAACCCCATTGTGTGTCTCAGCACTACCAGACATCTACAAAGCAAAAATTTGCGCTTCCCCGTGGCATTACCGCTGCAAACAGCGATGTCCATGTTACTTCAGCTCTGCCAAGCCTCCCTGGGTGACTTAGGATTTCTGGATCCCATTGACCCAGAAATGTTCTCAGCTCCTCCAACCACGAGGTAGTTGTCAGTGTTCAAATAATCGGAATCTGTTCAAATGAGCGAATGGTAAAAAAAAAACACATTTTGTAGCCTGCAACCTTAAATTCTCTTGCCTTCGGGGGCCTGCTAAGTGCGCGAGGTTTGAGGGGGAGGGGGAGGGCCAATGCAGCAGCGCTAGACGTTGCGTTACAGCAACAACGCCACGTCCGTCGCGATGGCCGATTGCCCATTGCTTTCCTCGCCACAATCGGCTCATGAGGTTGAGAGAGGCCCAACCAGAGGTCGCAACCGGGTACCCGATACCCGGCTACCCATACCCGGCCGGGTACGGGTAGCCGTTTGCGACCCTGGTGCGGCCGGATACGGGTAGGCCGTGAGTCACTGGTGAGTAACCGTTTGTCACTCATTTCGGGTAGGGTACGGGTACGGGTAGGGAACGGGTACCCGTACCGGTACCCATTTGCGACCCTGGTGCGGCCGGGTACGGGTAAGGAATCAAAACCCGTTTGCGACCTCTGGGCCCAACTTGGAACCAGCAGAGAGTGGAAGTTTAACCCCCCCTCCCCCCCGGATCGTGTTTACTCAGTTGTCGATTAGACCTTGGACGATGGCCGTGGGATTGCTTCGTAAATGGGGAGAAGCGCAGATCCCAGGATTCTCCTCCAGGCTGCTTCAGGAGAGGGGGGGGGGGTGGAGGCTGTGAACATATTTGCGTGTTTCCGGCGTAGCAAATTCGTTTTTGCATTTCCCCACATTCAATTGGTTCCCATCTTCTCTACCCCTTAATCACAACACTTATTTCCCCGTAAGCTGTAACCAAAAAGAGAGGTGTGAGGGTGAGTAGCATGTAAACAGCTGCCTATGATAACCAGGCCTGGCGTAATTGGTCTAAAGCCTGGTTTATAATTTATACGACTATAACGTGTACGCCGCTGTTTTTGACCAGTCACAAACTGTGTAGACGCCCCTGCGTACTGTGGCGGGAATACATTGTTGCGTGCTTGTGCGCGTGTGCCCGCAGGACACGCATGCAGCAGTCGGCGATGTATGAATTGTGCGTAGAAATGAGGCAAGTCTCGGAGGACTTCATGAAGTTGCAAGTCACTTCAGAGGAGTTTCTGTGCATGAAAGCCATCTTGCTCCTGAGTACTGGTAAGTGATCCACTTGAGGGGTATTCTTTTTACAAAGAGGCAATTGCTGAATGTGGAAGACGTAATTCAGCGCCCATTACCAGGAAGCATTGAATATGTTGCTGAGAAAATGCATTTCTTCTTGTTTTCAGTCGCGTAGAATATTTTTTGGATTGTATGTATGTTGAACTTATTTTGCTTCTAATGGAGGTAGCATTTTGCCATAGAGCAGACCTCCTACGCCTTGAATGTGTGTAATATTAATATGTAGCTTCATCAATAACCACATTATTTGAAGTATATTTTTACATACACAATTCTAAGAAAAGCTAACATAAGGAGCAAGATGCAAATAACAGAGGATAATAAAGAAAACTTGATTAAAACACGTTTTACTATTTCAGAGTAAAATCTTTATTTTAATAATATGTTTAATGTAACTTAATTAATTGTAGCAAGAGTTGGAAGCCATTTGTCACTTAACAATGATTCACATGTAGGTTGATGCATTTAATTCAATGTCCTGCCATCACTTATTTTACCCCAGAGTATAATTAATTCGTATTGAACTGCTTTACATATTTCTAAAATCTTATATTGGTCTTCATCCCACTCTAGAGTAACTACCGCATAAAAAAATTTTATGGTTAACATCTCAATATAATCTCAAAAGTATATACATCTGCCAAAGTCAAAGGCGTATTTTTTATACTCCTTAATTCGATGACCAATTCATATCTGTTCGCTTTATTTAATAATTGAAAATATTGACAGATATACTTATTTTATTTTTTCAAACACGCTGTCAATGTGTGTGTGTGTAGTCACTGCACAGGTAGCTTAGCTTGCTGGTTTACACTTGCGAGGGCTTGGTATCACATGGGTGTGAATTTGATACAGCCTTGGATCACACGCCGAATCCTTTTCCCAACAAGGATGGTAATGTCATGCTTTCCATGGATCTTCAGTGAAGCCAATCAACTTTAAGGTGATGAGGTGTGCGCTGGTTCGATTTATTTTTTTACTTTAAGATAACTTAAAAAAATCGAGACTCCACCTTCAGTGCTGATGGCCGTTTACCGTTGGCAACGGTCGATTTGATAATTGGTTCTTTACCCTTCTATCTGGCAACAAAACTGACACCTTTTTGCAAGGAGTCATGTTTGCATAGACCGCAATACCTGCACATAACTCTGATAATGTGCACATTATCAGAGTTATGTTCTTTTGTTTGTATTATGACTGCAGGTATTGCGGTCTATGCAAACATGACTCCTTGCAAAAAGGTGTCAGTTTTGTTGCCAGATAGAAGGGTAAAGAACCAATTATCATATTTTTACTGGCAAATGAGGTCCCCATAGTGAACAGTCGATTTGTTTTCACAGTCACGACGGGATTGATACGTTTTTGTTTTTAGGCTTGTGAACAACTTGTATTTCAGTAATTGGTAACAATAAGAGTGCTGTGGTTTGCTTCATTTAATTTTTCGAAATGACCCATAAATACCGTCGAGGTTAGGGATGGTTAATGAAACGACCCATTTCCCTGAAGAGTGTTTTGACGCTGCTCATCTCCGTTGGTGGTACAGAGGTAGTGGTTGAAATTGATATACCAACGGTAGGAATCGTGCACTTGCGATGAACAAAACAAAAAGTCGACAAACATTGTCAATATCACGTTCAAAATAAATAATTGTGTTGCGCAAATAGGTTGTACTCATTAAAACGCCTCGGTTCAGTTCATGCACGTTTCATTACATCGAAATTCACTACATAAATCAGCTGACATTTTGCTTGTCCAACGTTTCTGTTTGATGTTTGAACATCTTAACACCTGTTTTATTGCCAGAAAGGGTAAAACCTATTCTTATTTTTCATATTATGATACTGGCAAAAAAGATCCCATTTTTTTCAGCTAGTGTTTGGAATTTCGGCAGAAAGCATTCTAAGCTTACTAATCATTTAACCTTTATAAAGTGGAAGTGCATCCCAATTAGATTAAAAAATATATATATATGATTTTGTTTCTATAATATTTGAAGCAAAAAGCTGTGGTGTGCCAAAACCACTTAATGTCAGAAAATAACACCATTGAATTTGCTCAAGTCTTTTCATTCAGTTAGTTTAAACCCCATCGTCGTTTTAATGCAGAGGAAAAATGAAACGCCTATTTGATACCTCCTTGTAAGATGTAAATTGCTCGGGAATGCAACAGTGCAACCGCGTCTAATTTGGCACCAACATTACCGTAATAAACAGTGTGTATATAAAAAAAAAAATCTGAGATATGGCCAAGGAGAAGGGTGACCTTGTTATTTATAGTCTGGAATGAAAAGGGGCGGGCGGGCGGACGGGGGGGGGGAGAGTGGCAAATTAGAGAGTGCAAGAGGTGCCGGCGTCTGGCCAGCTGGCAGTAGCCACCCACGCACAGGGAATGAATCCAACAAAGGTGGTGTACAGAGAGCGCAAGGCCCCCACCAAAACAAGTTGCGAGGTTCTTCAAAAAACCCGACATTCAACTCGGAACTGCTTTACATGCACGGTCATGCTTTTCCCACAAGAATTAGGGTTGTCGGGGTATAGAGAGGATAACGGGATGCATTGTCGTCGGCCGTGGTAAATCCACTGCTGGATGAGTGCTTCCCAACTCCACTGCCCTCAGTCCATCGTTGGGCCAAAATAAATTATGTACTTTTCAGTCTTGGCATTTGTCAAAGCGTACGTAAAAAAGCAGATAGTTGTCAGCAAAAGGTAGCTGTGAAAAGTTTTGTTTAAAATCTTTATGCATTTTTTTGAACAAAGCAAGGTTTCTGTTGATGTACAATACTATGAGCTTGAAGTGGATTTACCAGCGGAATCAAGAGGACAAGGGCCATGCCTAAGATGTGGACTTCCCTGACTTTCTGGCTAACTTTATGGCTGATTGACAGTGAAGGAATTTAATGGGGGATAAGCCTCCTTCTCTCACTTAGTAAATTCAACGGTCTGAGGGAATGTCTTCTCTACGAGATCATCTTAATATAATCCCCCGTGAGCAATGTGTATAATCGCTATAATCTGCAGCCATATATTGACGATGACTTTCTATATGTAGGCATTATGAGGGGGTTGTTGACACACCATATATTGGAGTGACTCATAAAAGCATATGGAAGTAAAACTCCACATGCAAACATGTACAAATATATTTTTTTAAATTGTCAATCGGCCTTTGTTCTTTCCAAGCAAGTGAACTCTGGACCGGTTTCGACCTTGTGGGTCTCATCAGCATAGTTAATCAAGCTTGTTTAACTAATGCTTGTTGTAAAGATGCATGTTCGGTATGTAGATAGTGACCTCGTTCTTTAAGGTCAATATACTTTTCTGAAGCGGTTCAACAAAACAAATATGTGCTGCTTTTATTCTATTAACGCTCGCCACAAAGCAGTAATTGATTACACAATTGCCAGCGTCTATTCCTATAAGTTATATTGCAAAGGCTATGAGGAAATGTATGAGCTCACTAATGTTTATCAGTTCGGTTAACATGAAGTGTCAGTGGCCTGAAACAATATGAAGGGAAATTGTTCAAGAGCCTAATCCCTTCAGAATGAATGCTTATTAGACTAAGACAGTGGTCAAGCAAAATCGGTAATTGAGCGTAAAATGTGGACTCGTGGAGTGCAGTAAAATGCTAAACATGTGAGATTTAGATATGCAGTAAGCTTGTTGGATAATTCGAAACACATGTGCCTGAGGGTAACAGACCATGTGAACATTCAAATTGCAAAAAGAAAGCCTCTGTGATCCCTTGTAACTGCTGATTGGTGATAGGGATGGTATTTTACCTTGCAATGTTTTGTCAAATACAAAGGGGGAAATGGTTAATACATGATCATATTTACATAAATTCATATTGTGGGATTGGACCGTATGTGCTACGACATTGGAGATCGGCCCATATGTTTGGAGTGAATAACACATTAGTGTGTAAAAAAGCAAGCAGCCTTTGGCTATTATGCAAAAACCATCGGCAGTTCCTAATGCATTGCATTGTGGTCCTCTTGTTTTAGGTCACTGTCAAAATTAATTTCAGCTAATGTGTGACAAAGAAAGACAACTGTGGCACAGGTTTGTCCTTAGCAGGACTCATTGGCACAGTATAGTCACCAATACGCACTGATCTAAAGTCTACCTCTGGGAAATATATATAGTCCCCAGTTATACACACACACACACTATGGTGCTTATCAGCTTGGCTAATGCCAACAATCATCAGATCTGTAAAATGACGAGAAGAAACCATTGCAGAAGAAAAAATAGCATTTCTGAATTATGCAAAAAAAACCATCAGCAGTTCCTGAAAATTGCATTGTGCTCTTTAGTTTGGTCACTATCAAAATAAATGTAAGCTATTGGAAACAACTAACAAGAACTTATGGTTTTTCGTCTTGCACGATTTGTTTTGTTTGCATGAGATTTTCCCGTCATTTACAGATGGGTTACTGTTTGGAATCGGCCAATTCAACAGGCCCCATAGGTTAGATGTTTTGGAGTTAGATCCTGATCTGCACCAAAGCATCTATTATTAAGAATCAAAATACCAGCCATCTCAGATTTGCTGATGACACAGTCATTGTAACAAAAAAACCGAATGTAAATTAATTACAGGAAATTATTTAAGAACTTAATGAAAAAGACTGCAAAGTAGAGCTCTAGGTAAATATAGTCAAATTAAACGTGCATTAAAAGGTCACTAAACTAATGCACATATTTGTCTAGCTATAGTGTTGTAGCTAAAGGTGGATAGGGATCAAGATGATGAAATACAGGTGAGTGAAAGTAGATTTGAGTGCTTTTTTGGGGACGCATTGTGGCACCAAGAAAACATTTTCTAATCGGTGTACGCAGAGAAGCTTGGAGGGGGTGCACGCTTTAAAACAACACTGAGGGACCGAAAGAGAGGGGGCACTTGAATCGGAGCGAGCACAAGTTTGAGACGTCGTATTGACTGGGGCCTGGGCATAAGGCGACGAAGGGGGA